CAACCACATTGCACTTAGGCAGTTGTCGGGACTTGGGGAGCAAGATTATATTGTGCTGTCTGGGATCCCAACCACTGACTTTGGTGAGCAATCAACAAGGGCCGCCTCTCGCCAAGATAAACTTCACAGGCTGTTGCCACTCATTTACGGGCTGAGCTACCCGACACCATTACTGTTGTGCATCAAACTGGTCGCCCCGCTAGTTTCCTCCCTAGCCTCGGTTGGAGTGCACATTGGGCTTGGAATAAATGCTCTTCTTGTTCACATTTGTCCAGGATATTGCAAAAGGACTTTTGCAATATGAGTTAGGAAACACACTTTACAGGAGGCCTTGAAGGGAAACAGAGGAAGGAATGCTTATTTGGGGACGTGTATTGGTGTTTTTTACCCACCTCCGCCTTTGTCATAGAGAGAATTCAGGATGTTCGCTTGTTTAATGTGAGCATCCGTGCTGTAGTTTGAACTATATACACAAGCACCTCAGAGGGAGAAAAATGCTAATGAAGCTATTAATGATAGATCCGTGCATAACTCAAGGTGGCAGCGAGGGAGGAGGAGGACACGTTCGGCAGCGTCGTCTTTTTTTAAAAATACCACGAGTAGATAGCTGTGTGGGAGTTAAGAGAAAAGGGGACTGAAAAGTGCCGGAAGACAGTCTCTGTTGTTGGGGACTGGGAGCTGGATAGCTGGCTAACACACGTCCTCACCCACTCACACGTATGCTGTATAGATGAGCCAGAATGCACACGTTCGTGTACACACACTCCACGCACCCAATTGTATACAGTACATGCATACACACATCATAAGCTGAACTCTCAGAGGGTCAGAAATCCCACGTGAGTTTACACCATTACGTCCATTCTCAGGGGATTTTTATAACAGAATATCAAATGTAGCATACAGTACTATAGTCTTCTATTACCACTGGATTAGCGCTGCCGACCCCCCCGCACCACTAGCTGCCTCTTGTTGTTTCCCCCAAGGCCACTCTTCACTTCCCTGCATTTAGTACTCTTATGTTTTTTTCTCGTTTTTCTCTCTCTCTCTCTCTTAAGGGAGCGGTGGTCAGAGGAAGTTGGAGATTCAGAAAGGATACTCATTTGCTCATGCATTACTTATGAAACCTCAGCTTCTCGAGCCTCATAAAAAAATTCCCATACACCCACACAGGCAGAAATCTACGCTGATTTTATTTTGATATCTTTGCTGCAGAGTACTCCCTGCTGTAGTGCATCTTCACTGCACAATACAGAGCTCAGTGACAGAGTATGTTGTGACACGATGTCTTCTTACCTCAGTTTCATGTTTATAAAGTTTGTGTTTCCGTAGGTGGCGCTGTCTTTTCTGATGCCATAGAAGCTATCATTGTTATTATTTTATTTATTCAAAGCTCTTACTGGAACAAAGAGCTGCAGTGCATTATATATAACAAATTTACATTCAAACCTCAACTGCAAAATAACCATAACTAAACCGGGATTTGCTTGTGTTATTAATTTAGTGGAATATGTATTATTGTAAAACCAATACAAATACATGGAATAATAGACAGTTTGCCAGTGGGACAAGGTGCTGGACACCAACACGCATTCGCCATATTCTGAAATATGGCCTGGAAATCTCTGCGGCCTAATAACACATGGCAGATGGAGGCTGTCAAGAGTGGCAGGCCAGCTGAAAGTGATTTGGTGGGATGAAGAGAAAAAACAGCGGAGACACAGAGAGAGAAACAGAAACAGAATACAATGAAAGAGAGACGGAGGTGGAGGGAGATAGTCATCAGCCCTGTCGTCCCATCTCTCTGTAGATCTAGATGAATTTGTCCTGACAACACAGGAGCGACTCAGACAACACCTCCAAACCCATCTGCACACAAACACACACACACACACACACACACACACACACACCTCCTACATGAAAGGCCAAGAAAGAGGGAGGAAGGGACCAAATGAGGGTGTGAGTAAACGTAAATAACCTACTAGATGGAGTTACGTTGGGACGGAAACTGACTCAGGAGTGCCTGAAAAAATATAAAACAGTGAAAGAGAGGTAGACAGGGAGAGGCAGCTGATGAGGAGACAAATCGATTTTGGTAAAGAGGCAGAGCGTCGAAAAGATTGAGAGAGCAGAGGAGAAAATGAACAGGAAGACAGAAACAGTGAGAGGAATACATAGAATGAATGAAGATGGAGAGACTGAGGGAAGATGAGAGGATGCCTTATTTTCCTCCATCTCAATTTGCACAAAACTTTCATTACCACCAATTTGGGCCGGGGAGCCGTAGGCTGGACCATTAGGCGAGCCCAGCATCAATCAGCCTAATCTCCCTCCCAGGCTGCTAAATTACAGCGCCCAGTTGCTTATTAAAATTTGTCGCCCGTCTCCCAACACCCGGCACCGCTGGAGATTAGACAGGGGCCCCCAGACAAATCTGTTCCAGAGAAGAAGAAGAAGAAGAGAGGGGGAGGTGAGGAGGAAGGAAGTACAGGGACAGTAGGAGGGGGAAAAAGAGAAATATGCTTGCTGAGACAGAGCGGATCAGAGTGGGGGACAATCATCTGGTTTGATTTATACACTCCTGTAGATTTGGCGTGTGCGCACACACACGCACGCACACACGCACACTCGCTCTCTCATCCTCTCTGCATTTCAGCCTTTCTTCAGACACTCATACATCCCAATACATGCCATATACACCCGCCACCACATGCCCACAACCTCCATAACCAGTTTTCCATTCCTGTCAACACCCCATACACACACACACATACGCTGGTGTAGAGAATGCAGGGTTTGCAACGCCTCCCATTGCACACTCAATCAAACCAGCGGCCAGATAAGACGCATGATGAATGGCGTAATTGAAGGCGGCAGCAGGGCAATGCTGCATCGCTCTGGGTTTGGTGGGGGGGGGGGATGAGTGGCGAGTGGGTGATTTGCCTGTAGGATTTATTGCAATTGCCTTATTAAAAAATACTAAGACAATCTGACTCGTCTACTGTAGCGCACCTCTAGCGACAGAGCATATAAGGCACTACACCTTTGGAAGAATAAACATCCACATAGGGCTGCACCTATATGGATTCAGATGGGGGAGTGAGACGTAGGAAATGTGGATGCAGGACACTGTAGATATCCATGAAAAGAAAACTTAAATGACACTAATTCACATCCAGGACATATCTGTGCCCCTCTTTCGTGTCCTCGCTGGAAAGAGGGGTGATACTTCTCTTTGCGCGCTTTAAGCATCGAAAGCAATTCACAGACAGAGTGAGAAAAAGAGTAAATGGAGTGACGGCGGAGTGTGTTCCCCATGTAGGTCAGTCGGTAGAGGAAGGAAACGAGGCAATTCTACTTCAGGTTGTAGTGCGCTCAACAGATCAAACCCTCTTCTTTCCCATATCAAAAGCTAGGTCCTTGATAGGAGTGAGCTAGATAGTGTACGGAACATCCACACTGAGGAGGCCACTCGCTCCCTGACAACACGTCTGTCCTTGTGCTGAGGGAGCGTGTGCAGAGGGATTTCTCCTCTGACCACCTATGCCATCTGATGACCCTGATTGGCTGCGGTTTACTGTTCGTTGGGGCCTAATCTGTCTTAATGGATCCTGACTTGTGGCACATAAAGAGATGATTTCAATTAGTGAGGCTCAGGATGCTGTTGTTTAGACACTCTGGCACATCTTAAAGACGCTTGAGTAACCAATTATTATCAGATTAAGGTGGAAAATCAATGTTAATTTTGTCTTAAGCTCTTTGCAAGCCTTTGACAAAAATGTTAAAATGGAAGATTAGCCTTTAAAATGTTAAAGATAAAATTAACCATTGTACAGTGTCTGTAAATACTGTAGTACAACATTAAGGGAAGATTGGTGCTATATGCCACACTGTGTAGCCAGGGTGCTTGACAGCTGATGTTTTGTATCCTGCATGTACCATGCTGCAAAAAGTACAGCAAGTGCTTAAAAGATAGTTTGATTCCAAAACTAATCAATAAAAATTTTGACAATCAATTAATCAGTTTGAAATGTTGGGTGTGTTGTTTCTGATTATCTTTGTAACATATTTTGTAAATTGAATGCCTGGGTTTTGGGCTGGTGGTTGAGCAAAACAACCAATTTAAAGACATTAATCTGGGGGTCTGGAAAATTGTGATGCATTTGTACTATTTTCTGACATCCACCATGCAATTGTTAATTTGCAGGCCTAAAAACAACTGTTCACTTTTGGGACAAATGAGGTAAATGATTTCTAAATATGATATGAAAATATTGTTCTGGCTAACTTGTACTGCAGGAAATGAATGGGAGAGAAAACCAAGCTACTGGTCTTTTCAAAACTTAAAATGGGATAAATGCAAGCCTTTCCCTGCTCAGCTGATACTAAGAAAAAAAAGGGAAGAAACCAATTTCGACCACATTAAAAAACAGAATACCACATACAGCACATGTGAGCAGGCATCACATAGACTATCAAAAAATGAACGATGCACTGAAACCCCACACGAGTGCCAGAGGGTTAGGGGGTCACTGCAGAGACACACACACATATCCCATCTGCAGCTCACACCCTTCAAGCTAGACAGTGAAAGTACAGTAACTGCGAGCTGTGTGGTTGTACAGAACATGTCCACTGTCAGCATATACTGACACGGTAACTAGCACGGGGAAAACCACACATGTACACACTGAGCCAAATGTGGTCACAGACAAAGCCCATTCAGCTGCTATAAATAGAAGAGAAACTTAGCAGTTGCTTTGTCTGAAAGTTTAATTAGCATAGCACCTAGAGTATTCAAAGATAGAAGGGTTGGCAGTGTGGCGAGGAGACGCGAGCCAAAACACTACGGCCAGTATGGCTATTTTAAAGATGAGTCTATTGTTTTGATATATAAAACTCTGTGTGTCACATTTACTGCTGTTGCAGGGTGTGAATATGATTTATAAAATGAGTTTAGTTCAGGATCTCGTGCTGTATACAGAGAGTGTGTCTACCTCTGTTGGACACCAGCAGCACTTTTGTGTTGCAGACTGATTGAGTGGTGTGCGGTTCGGCCAACTGGGCTTCTTCCCGCATCGATTGCTCGGACCAGCCTTCTCCTGGAGCACAGACAGAAAAATAGAGAGAGAGATGGAGAGAGGAGGACAGTGGAAGTGAACGGTGTAAAAATAGAGAGCACAGAGAGAAAGATAAGGAATGAGAGATAGAAATAGAGGAGAGAGGGAAAAGAAAAACAGGGAACATTATCTTAAATGAAAGTTTATTAGCTGTATCAGTCAGTCCGTCAGGTGGGCTGGGGTGGGGGTTTTGCCCCAGGCCCTCCATTCTTCCTCTCTATCTTTTTCCCCCCTCACCCACTCTCTCTACTTGTGTGTGTGTTTGTAAGGGGAGGGGTTTGGGGGATGGCAGGCATGACGGGAAAACATTAGGTTGTTGGCAAGTCGCCTGTACAACAGCCAGTAATTGGCTTGGGTAATGGTCATATCCAGACAAATGGCGTAGGCCTTCACCGTGTTTCGAGTAACCAACTGCTCCGCCTGTGCTCACAGCATAAAAGCCACAGCACTGCTCGTCCACCAAATATCTGCAGAGAGTGCATGTGTTTGTGTACTCACAAAAACCTATGATTTACTCGGACAAAACTTTTTTTTTACTCCACCTCAATGTGTTGTGCATGTCCTGCAAGCGTGATTCATTTACTTGCGTCCTATGTGGGAAACATGCGCAGAGGAAAAAGATGGCAGCACTAGCCCCGCTCACCTCGAAGGACAAACCGACATCTGCTGGTGTATGAGATGGGCAGAAGTAAAGAAAAAAGAAAGAAAGATAGAAAGAAAGGGAGAGAGCGAGTAGGAGAGGGGATGGTGACAAGAGAGAGGGAATAAGAGGATAAGTTTCATTTTTCATCCGTCCCTCCCTCTGCTCTGGATCACTTCCCCTCTGTCTGATGGCAAGCTGAGCCACTAATGTCTATTGTGTCTGGTCGGGCTGCAAACACACGCGCACGTGTGTGTGTGTGTGTGTGTGTGTGTTCGTGTGTGCGTGTGTGTAGTTGTCCTTCTGTTGATGGATGAGAATGAAATGTATATTCTCCTACAGTAGAAATGCCAGCTGAATAACATGCATACAAGGATAAAGCTGATGGTGCATTTGTATGCGCAAGAAAGCGCGCGCGTATGTGTGTGTGTGTGTGTGTGCACAGTAGTGACCCCTCAGCCATCCAGCTATCATCTCCCGCCAGACAGGCCCCACCAAGTCAGCCCAGCTGGATAATGAGATCCATTATGATTTACGTGCCAAGAGGAAAGCCAGACAGAACAAAGACATGTATATATACACACACACACACACACACAGAGTTTGGTGTACATGTCAGTGTGTATGTGCGTAGGCTCTCTGTCTCTTACTGTATGTGCAGCTATTGTTTCAGATTTCAGATTTTTTCTGTGTGTGTGTGAGTGTGTGTGTGTTTGTTAGCTACATTAGTTGCCTGTAGGGCATCCTGCAGTGGGTCCTCTTTCTGTTTCTCTTGAGAACTCAGACCATTTCTCTCTCTCCATCTTTCTCTCTCACTCATACACTCTTTCTTCCCAGCTCTGCCTCTCACCTGAAAAAGCTAACTCATTGAAAGATTGAGAGTCCCAAGTACAGAAACCTTACTGTCTCTAGCTGTGTGTGTGTGTGTGTGTGTGTGTGTGTGTGTGTGTGCCGGGATTTGTTAGTAGAGAGCTGAAGTAGCTGTCAAACACATTTTGGAAAAGGAGCAGACTATTGCTTCATTTCACTTCTTAGGAACGGGGGTGGAGATGGTGTGTCGGCACAGAAAAAAAAGAGAAACACTCGATCATCACTTGAATTGGTTCAAGGTCCAATATCTTTAAGAAACTGGGTGTAAGCTTAAATAAGCTGACTCGTAACACCACTCAACCACTCAGAGAGAATACCAAATCAGTGTAGAGCTGCAACAAACAATTTCTCTTCTATTAGTCGATTCATTGTTTAGGTCAGAGACGAGCAAACATTTCCCAACCACAATTTCCCAGAGTTCAGGGCGGAGCCTCCAAATGTCTTGATTTGTCTAAAAACAACACATTTAGTTCATGATTATATAAAACAGAAACTCCCTCACACTGGAGAAGTTGAAACAAAAGAATGTTTGACAATTTTGTTTGATAAATGACCTAAGTGATAAATTAGTTACCAAAATTGTTTCAATTAGTTTCAATTGACTAATGATTTAATCTACTGATTAATTTAATTTGAGTCACAGAACATTCCTTTAAAATGTATTATTGTGATTATTTGCTTCTAACAGTAAATACTAGTATAATTTCCTTTTTGCAACACTGCAGTCAAACCTGCAGTAAAGAAAGCCAAGGTACAAAGCTGTGATTGTGGGACAAACACACGAGCAAAAATACAAATGAACATACAATGCACATTCACAAAATTGCAAAAATCGGTCATATTTGTTATTTCCCTCTCTCTCACACACATGCACACTAACACACACACACAGCAGCCCTGCCCACTCTCACAGATCACAGGGCACAGAAAACAATGACTGAATTCTCTGCTGTTCCTGCTTATGAAGTATTCAAGTGACGCCAGCTCAATCAGGACTAAATGCCAAGACTGGGGAGAGATAAAGAGATGAACTGAGATGAACAGAGATTAAAAGAGAAACAGGGAGAGGGAGGGACAATGAGGACACTAGGCAGAGGCATGGAGGAGGAGAGCGGAGAGCAGACGACAAGTAGGCCATAATGAAGAAATGGGGAATGATGGACTACATGTTGATCTCCTAGGAAGGAAATGGGAAATGACAAGAAAGAAGAGGTAAATGGGGAAAATGGGTGAATTGGGAAAATGGGTTATGAGAAGCAAAAACAAGGGCAAAGAAAGATAAAGGATGTGAACGTAGTGTTACAGGAACAGTAGAGTCGGCAGAAAAACAGAGACAAACAAGCAGAGACAGAGAGATTAATGCCAGCCAGACTATCATGACCTCCTGCCATTGCTCTGCCTTTGTATACACACACACACACACACACACACACACACACATACACATATATGAACAGGGTGAGCACACTGTGTCTAGCCATGAAAACAGAGAAGGATTGGACATGCCCAGTTTAACTAAAAGGTCAAATAAATTAAATAAACATCAAAGTGAATGAACCTTAAGATGAACGGTGCTGTGGCTCAGAGGCTGAGCTGTGGGGGGTTGTTTTTAAGAAAATGAGGAGCGCCATAATCATGCATTATTTAATTTAAAGGATAATTCCATTTTATTACAACTTGGGTCTTATTTTAATGGATTTGGCTGCTATGTCTATGGGTAATAATAACATACTCGCTAAGTTAAAATCAATACCCAAATGGCTTTCGCTTCTTCTCTGCCACTAATTTGGCAAGTACAGTGTTATAACACAGAAAGGACGGCCAACGAAAAGAAGAAATCATCCTTTAATCTACCTGTAAGGTAAGTCACCCCAGCAAGAATGAACATTTTGTGTTCAGAGCTTTTCCTACAGTAACGCTTGTTGTCACAAACAAGGTTTTTTTTTACATCAGACTGAAGTCATTTAAAGTAAATATTTACACATGGGCCATTTCGCATTGCATGTATGAGCTCTGGCCAGGCCCAGCTTATATGGACTAATACATTTAAGATGACTATTTTAATGGTAGTTTTAATGCCATTTAATTTAATGTCACAGTGACGTACTATAACAAAGCACACTGGATGCCATTTTATGGGGCTTTTATCCAAAGAGTCTGTTTGTAGTGTGGGTGGGCCCTTGAAGATATTATCATCATTCTCTCTGTATTTACAGACACATTTTTTTGTGGCTGCAATACAATTCCCATCAGTGCAGACAAAGTGTTCATCTTCTCGATGGTTACCCACTCTCTGAACTATTTTGACTTCTAAGTTGGTATGTGTGTAGTCTGTGTGGGAGCCAAACCCACAACCTCACTGTTGTGGCATGTACCATGCTCCGACCCACTCGGCAATCAGCACCAGCGTCAAAACCCAAAACACATGCTGCAACCAAAATAATTCCCTCTAATTGAGCGCCAACAAAACAACATTGTGCCTCAGATCTCGCTCTGACAAAAACCTAACGTCAATATTTCTCCAACAAACCAAACTCGGTTGAGCGCACCCCCCTCCTCCGCATCTCAGTCCTTCTTAACAAAACAGCTCTTCACTCACTGTGGTGCCAGCCCTAATCACTTCCCTCAGCACCACGTGGTTCTCATTGACTGGGGGCCCAGCTCCACCACTCTGCAAGACGCTTCGCCAGAGGAAATTGGCTCGTCTACACAAATATTGCTCGTGAGCTCTATCGAATGGAGTCGCGCGGGCCCTCCAATGCCGGCCTTGGCCTTTGTTCAGGCTCCTTCAGCGACCCTATTTTGCTGTACAGAAACAGCTGCAGCAGCGTGCACTGCACTGTCCAAAGAAACAATTACAAACAGCCTTTTCCTATTACTCCCCACCATCAACCACCATTGTGTGGAATTAGTGGCAGTCTATGGAATAAGTGGATTCTAATTCATGGCCTCTTTTCATGGGCCGTGGTAGTGGCTTTTCCTCTGCTAATGAAGAGGATCAAAGAGAAGTGTTAATCAAACTGAGCATCTCATCTGTGGTAATAAGGAACAGAGGAGAGACCTTGGAGTGGCTCCCTAGTGATGTTTGTGTGTAAGTGGGCATATGTGTGTGTGAGGAAGGGGAAGTGACTTTGTATGTATCTGTTGCTATGTTCTTCTGGGGTTTTTTTTGTTTTGCATTCTGCGAATTTAAGGCTCTGTAAACTGGTGGTCAGACAAAAAATAAATAAAAAGGGAATGCAGGAATAATGTTTGTGCTTGGGCCTTGTTTTCTCAATGCTTAGCCTCAGCCCATAGGGATGAATGCCCCACTATAGGCCAATCCCTCTCCGCTATAGCAGCCTTTCATCCCTCCCAGGCTCCCTTGTCTTGGACCACAGTGCTAACCAGCAGGGTCTGATTAGATTTAAATGTCAAGAGAGATAGGACAATACAGTTATCTTCCAAATTATAGCCCATTAAAGGGCCTAAG